TTTGGCTTTACTTTTAATAATAGCGATGATGTTAAAACAACTTTTGTTTAATTTGCAATAACATTTTGGCCGTGGAGAGTATGAAACACTTAAAATTATAATGTCGTCTTGAATCCAAACATTCCTCATATAAAACCAAAGATATATTTTGAAAGGCTGTTAAGATCTGAAAATATATATTATTCATGAACGTTTTTCCAAATCTCAATAACTTCAAGTTGATATGTTATTTCACAAATTCTCAATATTTAACGTATTGCGTCACACAAGTGTTGTGGTAAAAAAAAAAAAAAAAAAACAAACCGCTCGTGCGGCGCCATTGAGAATAATGCAGTGACAACGTATGCATTTTCAGTGCAATTGGTTTTTATCTGGGGCTGCCAAAAATCACGTGACGAAAAATTGTATCATGAATGAAAAAAGTTTAAGAACCGCTGTCTTAAATGATTAAACAAGTAGCTCACGAATATAGTAATTGTGGGTTCAATCCCATGGCTGGGTAGTAGATTCAGAATCAGTGGAAAGTGCGATCAATAACTGACTGTCTATATCTCTGAGATAAGGTATTATGATTACTTGCATTATTTACATTATTCGGACTGTTATCCTCATCTTCACTACGTTTCGGCTGTTGTACGCTCCGGCCTTCTTCAGGATCTTTCTATATCTCTAAGATGAGGTATTATGATTACTTGCCTTATTCGGACTGTTATCCTCATCTTCATTGCCATATTCACAATGTTTCGGCCGTTGTACGCTCCGGCCTTCGTCAGGTGACTTAAGTTTCGAACCGAACTTTTTATTTCATGGATGAAGACGTTGGTTAGATCCAGTGACTAGACGCAAAGAGTTGTGTGTTCAATACCAGGCCACAAATCAATATATGCATTCTGCGGCAGCAAATTATTATTTAAACACACACACTATATATATATATATAACATGTTATCCCTCACTGATATATATCTATCTCTCTGAGATAAAGTATTATAATTATTTACATTATTTATAATATTCGGACTGTTATCCTCATCTTCATTGCCATATTCACATTTCGGCCTCTATATCTCTCACATGAGGTATTATGATAATCGGCCGGATCGTTCAACGGCCGAAACGTTGTGAATATAACAATGAAGATGAGGATAACAGTCAGAGTAATATAAATAATGCAAGATATGATAAGGCATTCATCAAAAATCATTTCACTCCCAAGTAAGGCAAAGTCAAGGAGTTACTATAAATGAAAGGATCTATGAAAAAAAATTACTGAGGCGAGAAGACATTACTCTCCTCAATAATGTTTTTCTCAGATTCAACAGGATTCAAGATGACAACTGATGTTGTATTTCAATCTTTGAAGATCATAGGAAAGCCAGAAGAAAGAAGTGCAGGAGAAGATACTGTTAACACATAACTTGCAGTTACATCTAATAATTTCAACAGTAAAATGATGAGACCTAACTGCCAATCTAGTACTGTTTTCAAATTCATGACATCAAGATATCAAAGTGGAAAGGCTATCAGAACAATTACCATGAAAATATTTATAGAAAAGGCACAGGGCAGCTACATCACGGTGGTGGGAAAATGCTTGAAGTTGAAATGATAGATTAGACATTACCTATTTTGTATTTTATCAGGTATCTCGAGATATATAGCAGGAGCCCCAGACCAGATATGGCAGCAATATTCAGTACATAGATGTTTCGTAGATTTATTAAAGTTCAAGATCGATTCTGGCAAGAAAAGTTCTCTAACACAGCATGGATTACCAGCATTTCTAAGCGGCAGATTTAGTAATTAATTCAATATAATCATTCCACTTCTGACATTTGCATCAGAAATACAAAAATAATTAATAACAAATTATGATAATTATTCTCTCACAAAAAACTAGTTAGTACCATGAAATCTAATCCATACTGAGTGCTCCATTATTTAACCTTGGACCAACCTAAGGTACTTTTTTCTTGATGTATTAGATATTCTGATATTTGCTAGTCAAAATGTATTTGGTGAAGTATTTCTAATAATCAACAAAGGCAAGAACTCCAGAATAAATTCCTCTATTATCACCTGAAGTCATAATCCTCTTTCTTGTCAAGGCACTTAATACAATGATGAATGTTAATATCTGGGTTGGAACTGCCTAATCCTCACTTTCCAGCCTTGATAGTGTTCAAAACTGTTCACATTGTCTGGTGAGAGAAAATTTATTCTCTCCTCTGCAGCCTATCACTATTTTCACTGAAAATGTTCAGATGAGCGCTCCATTCTTTAGTTCCACAAGTTAAGACATTTACAACAATGGTTCTTAACCTTGTTGGAAGTACTAAACCCTACAAGTTTCATTCATGCATTCCCCAAACCCTTCGTAATCAGAAAAATAAAATATGATTTCTTCAAAACGTAGGTCTATATTTTATTAGTGCTCACATGAACCATGCATCAGTTGCACACAAAATCACAGTTCAAAGAATAAAGCCAACAAAAACTTTTTATTCTTGACATATTAGAAACTCTGATATTTGCTAGTCAAAATGTATTTGGTGAAGTACTTCTAATAATCAACAAATGCAAGCACTTCAGAATAAATTCCTTTATTAACATCTGAATACATAATCCTCTTTCTTGTCAAGGCACTTAATTCAGTGATGAATATTAATATCTGGGTTGGAACTGCTCAATCCTCACTTTCCAGCCTTGACATTAAATAACTCAGAAAGGGTTGATAAGCCGTAAAAAAGAAATTAATCAATCAAACCTCTTTTATGACCCTTGTTTCTCTTTGCTCCATCTATTTGTTCAAATTTGTTAAGTAGTTTGCTTTTCTGGCCACTTTTCTCTGTTCTTTCTTGCCTTCATTGTGTCCAGTGAGTGAGGAACTTCGACTTGGTGTAATGGTTAACAAGCTTGCCTCACTAGATCAATTACAACTGAAAAGTGAGTTCGATCCTCACTGTTTAAAATTGTCACACCGTCTGGTGAGAGGAGACTTATTCTCCCCTCTGCAGCCTAGTTCCCACATCATAAGCCTATCTCTATTCTATCACTATTTTCAGTGAAATGTTCAGATGAGTGCTCCATTCTTTAGTTCCACCAGTTAAGACCTCTACAATTAGGACTTACCATGCTACTTCCATAGAACCAAATCAACCTCACTTCAAACGTGTTAAAAATGTAAGGAAAAAGTTACATTCAGACAGTATTTTCCCTAAGAACTTTGTAGAACTTGCTCCAGTGGGATTGCTTTCCTGAACCCTATGATCCTAACTTCTTCAAGTCAATCTCATCAATTATTCTTCATAATCTTTACTTCAACTCACTTCCTCTTTCATTCTGATTACACACCTTATACAGTAACCAATACATTGTGTCTCTCGACACTTGTATTGGCTGGACATTAGTAAAAGAAGAATATAAAATCAAATATGATAGTGAAATTTTAAGATCAAAATTCAGTTAAATTTGTATCAGGCTACAGACTTACTGATTGACCCTCTGACATTCAAATACAGATTTTACAAGCATATTTATTCTCAGGAAACTAATATGAATATGTGAGATTGCAGCAAATATACTGTTATTATCACAGAAGGATGTGCTTATGTTAAAAAAAAAAAAATTTAATAAATGTAAGAACAAGAAAGAAATTCTTAAATAATTTTATTACAAAATAAAATTCAAGTTCTATAACTTCCAGAAAATTATTATCCTTCAAAAGTTTTCATTTTTTTTCATTACTCTTTTGATAAAACAACATTTTGACTGATCTATTCTACAGCCTTCTTAAGTGGTAGATCAGTGAATATTGAGGGTCATTATTTTTTTAAATAAAAGTATTGCTCTTTGTGCTGCCTCAATGAATATTACAAATGAATATTGAAATTCAATATTAAAAATGAATATTAATGAATATTAAAAATTTATATTAATGAATATGAAAAATGAATATTAACATTAAAAATCAGTATTAATATTAAACATTTATATTCATGAATTTGAAAAATGAGCATTAATATGAAAAATGAATATTAATGAATATTAAAAAACCAATATTAATATAAAAATTTATATTAATGAATATGTAAATGAATATTAATTAATATTAAAATGAATATTAATGAATATGAAAAGTCAATATTAATTGATATTAAAAATGAATATTAATGAATATCAAAATTTATCAATCTGAGCAAATTTTGAAGGTTAAAATACTTTGAATACTGCTATATTAAATTAGTCCAAATGTTCAGTGCTAAAAACACAACCCATTTGACATAGTTTCAATTGGTATTCAGTGAAAGTTATAGAGATATTTGAGAAAGAACATTTCAACAGAGGCAATTCTTGTACAAAAATGGTTGTCACTTTAAGATTATTGAGATCAATGAATTCAAGTTCATCTTTTAGTTTAAAAATATGAGGCACCCAAATTTTTAAGCACTGAAACCCTTGATTTAGGGCTAATTTTTTTTTTTTTTTTTTTTTTTTTTTATTTAACATATATGGGCAAGAAGTGCACAGGTTTTGCTTTCCACTCTTGACAGAGTTCAAATGCACCTCCATGTTATTGTAGATGACATTCTTTTCCATCCTACATCTGCTTTCTAAGAGACGAAAGGTCATAAGCCTCTCACTGCTCTATTGCTATTTCCATGGGATGTGTTCAGTTGAACTACCTTCTTTAGTTTCACCAGTCCTAATCTTCACAGTTAAAGCCCACCATATCACACACATTGTGGTAAAAACATCCTCATTCCCTTTGTATTCCTTTGGGGGAGATGCAAGTTCCACAAGCAGCTTCTTCCCAGAAACCACTGCTGTGTTCATTTTTTTTTGTTTTTTAGCTTCTCACCCCAAGCAAACGGGAGTGCCACTAACAAACAAGGGGTTACAGAGAGAGGAAAGAAGAGTAAAGAGACGTGATTGAGGAAAGGATAAAGAGAAGGACAGGGAATTAGATCAAGGTGTTAGGGCAGTAAAAAGGTTTGTTTTTACCCATGCGTGGGGAGATAGATCATGTGACAATGGGGCATTCTCCCATTGGCCAATCCTGCCACAGGCAGCCCATACAAAAAGCATAGCGCATGGAGAAACACGCTCTTTTCAGCAAACCTTGCCAAGCGACGCACATGTGGTGTTTTTAGTCCAGACTCAATCTGTAACAGCAGCCATGAAACCAGATCTCTGAGAAACCAGTTTTCCTCCGTTCCACCATTTGGGTAAGTCCGTCAGTCATTATCTCCACATTAGGGAAAGACATGCATATATTTGTGTATTGTGTAACATAAAATAAAACCTATTCTTTTGGTTATCTCGTTTTGCTGATTATATTACATACCAGTGACTAGAAATCTCATACTTATAAAGGCATCAGAATATGCCGACTGACATTGCATTTGAATATTTGAAGACTATAACAGTCAGGGGAGCAAGTAAGAGGAAGGGAGTTCCACAGACAGGAAGTGCAAGACATGACACTATTGGAGTAGAAAAGATGGCTACATTTAACAATTTCAACAGTGAAAGGGTGGGACTGAAATGCCAATCTAGTAACATGCTTAAATTCATGCAGTTTGGGAACCAGCAAAAATAGCTCATCAGAGCAGTTACCATGAAAATACTTGTAGAAAAGACAGAGGGAAGCAACGACACATCTGTGAGAAAGTGACTGTAGGTGAGATGCCAGACCAGGACTAGCCACATTGCTTATCTATCTCTGGATTTTGTCGAGAACCTTTAGACAAACAGTGAAGGCTCCAGACCATATATGGCAGCAGTATTCCATGGTTGATTTATAGATTTGAAGGATGGATTTAGGTGAGAAAAACTTTCTGGCACAAGAACCAACTTTCCATGCGCTAGATGAAGCTATTAATTCAATGTATTTGTTCCATCTTAGGTCAGTGGACAAGCAGGTGCAGAGAGGCGCTCTTATGGAGTTGAGCATCAGCCATGCTGAGAGGAGGCAGGGAGGGTTCTCTGTGGTGGGTAAATGAGAGCAGTTTGATTTTTGAGGCATTAAAGTTTACCAACCATTTCCTGCCCCATTCAACCACAGATTGGAGGTCCTTTTTATGACCAATGGCCAGGTTAGTTTTGTCAGCGATACCAGATTTGCTATTTAGGCAGGAGTAAATAGTAGTGTCGTCTGTGTAGATGCCTACTTGGGAACTGATGACATTGGGAAGATCATTAATGAAGATCAGAAACAGTGCAGGACCCAGGATAGAGCCTTGGGGAACACCAGCATTTGTGAGGAAGAAACTGGAGGAGAACCCATTTAGGACAACCTTCATTTCACAGTTTCACAGGAATTATCATATTAAATCAAATAATTGTCATGAAATTCCATATCCCTAAAGCTTACAAAGAAACCCGGTATACCAGACCCCATCAAACACTTTAGAGATATCAAGAGCCACAGTTCGAGCTTCTCCATTATTGTGAAGTGCTTGATAAACAAATTCAGTTATGGCCATGAACACATCAGTGGTAGATTGGGCAAAGCGGAAACCATATTGCTTGTTTGAGAGCAGATCATGGGATTTAAGGTGCTTAACTAATCTTTCAAGAAGATGCTTCCCTGATCATTACAATCTAAACCTGTTAGAGTCGAGGATTAACAGTTATCTTCCACACATATCTACATAAGCTGTACCTCTTTCTCTGTAAACCTCTACTTCGAGTGGCTCTTGGGCCTTGTACAGGGTGAAAACCACTGTAAAAAAGAATATGCTAAAAACGTGAGGTGAGTTAAAATTTTAAACATCAAAACCTTATATTTAGTTTAAATTAGCAAAATTGCAAATATCTTAACATTTTTTTTTAACTTTTTTTCATTTTTTTTAATATTTATCAAGGCAGCCTGTGGCAGTGCAAAAGAAGGAAATTGATATAATAATATTCATGGTATTTTTTTTCTTAATGTTTTTGATTTCAAAGCAGATTTATCCTGACATCCATGAATCGCAGGCTTTTTATTCCCATTACCCTGCCTAACGGACATTGAATCTTTCAGATTATGTTTAAGTGGCACCTCAGGATCTGAAGTTGGCATTAAATCAGGAGATGAAATCAAAGAATCTCTGGTTCTTTTTATATTTTCTGACAGAAATGAATTGGAAGTGTTCTCTCCTGAAAGAGATGCTTCGAGTGTGGTTGCATCGGTGATGTCTTTGGAATGTTTCCGATCTTTCAAAGTCAGGTATTCATTAAACGAATCTTCAAGATGCTGATATTTTACAAGGTTTTCAGATCGTAGCTGTGAAGCTTCAGACTTTTTATTTTGGTTGGTCAGCTCCAGCTGAGCAAGGGCCTGATGAAAGTCAGACATGTAACTGTCGAAAAGAACCTCTGAAAGAAACAGATTTAAGTGTTGGTTAGTTGAATTAGTTTAGAGGCATATAAACATCTCTATGGGCTATTGAATGTCAAAATCTGAATATCCTGCATGCAATTTTATACATTATTTTTTTTTCTTGAGAATTTACAACAAAAATATTAAACACTATTGATATATTTATTTTATGCTTTCAACCACCAATGCCTTGTACTTAATTTTATTCTTTCATAGTAAAGGTATTTTTTAGATCATAAAATGTATTTGTCTATATTTCTGAGATGAGGTATTATGTACATTATTCAGACTACAGTCCTCATCTTTGTCGCCATATTACAATGTTTTGGCCATTGTATGCTTCGGCCTTCTTTAGTTGGTTGGAATGTCGAACTTAACCCTTTATTTCGCTCACTGGAGTAGACTGTTTTAGTTCCACATGCCATGTTTAATGGATGTCAGTTATCAGTTATCTCCTGTTAATTTCCCTCTGAAAGTTCTCCACTGCCTTAACTGGGTATTGAACTCACACACTTTGGGTTTTGTTACTGGATCTAACCAACACCTTTATCCACTGAGCCATATGCTAGGCCACGAAAATCTCCTGAGCCAACCAAGCATAGAAATGAATACAATATGGGAACCAGTAATAAGGAATGCCAGAGAAAAGCGATAATAACAACAAAAGTTGCAATATGAGCTTTGGTAAAAACATGCAATGATAAAGGCAAAAAAATTGCAATATGAGCACTGCTAAAAATGGTTGCTGAAGACATTAGGTTTATAATACCCAGAAATTCATACACAAGGACACATGGCACAGTGGATAAAAGTGTTGTTTAGATCCAGTGACAGGACCCAAAGAGTGTGAGTTCAATACCCGGTAAAGGCAGTGGAGAACTTTAAAAATGGCACGTGGAACTAGCAAAATAAAGTGTTCAGTTCGACATTCCAACCAACAAGAAGGCTAGAGCGTACAACGGCCGAAATGTTGTAATAAATATGGTGACAAAGACGAGGACAATAGTCCAAATAATGTATAGACTGTATTGTTGGTAATTTTACTATAAAAATGTATTTTTATATTTTTTAATGTTGCATTGTATCTTAGTATAAAAATCTATTATTTATTGCTCATTTTATGATAAAAATGTACTTGCATTATTTACTTATTGGGAATGTCATCCTCACCTTCATTGCCATATTCACATTGTTTGGCTGTTGTACGCTCCAGCCTTCTTCAGGTGATTGGAATTTCGAACCAAACCATTTATTTTGTCCACCGGGGTAGTTCCACGTGCCATGCCTCTTCCAGATGTCTCAGTTATTTCCCTTTAACTCAAATCTCCAACTTTTGGTTCACCACTGCTATGGCCTGGTATTGAACTCACAACTCTTTGGGTCTAGTCACTGGATCTAACCAATGTCTTTACCCCGATGGATGAAATAAAGGGTTTGATTTGAAATTCCAATCACCTGAAGAAGGCCAGAACATACAGTGACAAAAACATTGTAGATATGGCATTGAAATACTATGCTTATGTTATAAAACAGGGGTCGGCAACCTACGGTACATGTGCCATACATGACACAAAGCAATTTCCAATGGCACACAGCCGCAAATGACATCATGGATTCCAAACTAATAAATACTATAATGCAAATAAGATATTTAGCTGTTTCAATTTTAATATATATTGAAGTATATATGCTATATATAACTATATAAAATCAGAAACCCAATCCTAAATAGGAAACAAGAAATAAACGTCTCCTCCTGTTCAAAAGACTGGGAAGGAGTGTGAACCAGCCGATAGGTGAATCTGAACATAAATCTACCAGAGATCATATGGTATGGAGCAGGGGTCAGCAACCTGTGGCATGCCAAGCAATTGTCAATGGCTTGCAGCCGCAAATGACATCACAAAGTCCGAACCAATAACTACAACACAAGATATTTAGTTTTGCAAAACTGCTCACTCGGACTCCCATTAATAATAAAAACTTTAAAAAAACCTATAAAAAACAGTTTATTTCTATTAATGTGGTTTACATATTATTGTATATATTACTATATAAAATCTATTGTAGAATAGGTATATTGACCTTGACTTGTATAAAAATATGTATGCTGTTGGCATATTGAATGATTTTAAAACCCTGAGTAAGTACATATTCAGTAAAAGATTTATAACCCTTGTTACAAGAGGCAACGTTCTTTCCCCAGCCATTCAAAAGTATACGAACTTAGGTAATAAAAGAAAAGGCAAACAGAGGAAAAAACTTTAAGACAACATCAGGAGTTGAAGAGAAGATCATTCACATAGACATTGGCATGCAACTGAGACATATGAAGGGAGTAAGTCAGGTGTGCAGATGCACATTTACCCTACAACCACACCCTGTCATGGAACGGATAATGATGATTTCAATTTTTTTTGTCTAGCAAAAAAAAAGAAGATATTTTGAAGACAAGATAATCATTGAAAAATAGATTATAAAAAAATGAAAAGGAAAATAAAATTGGTGCTAGATGCAAAACAGCTGACTCTCACTATTTCCATTATTCGGACTATTGTCCTCATCTTTGTCGACATATTTATTACAACATTTCAGTCCTTCAGTATCTGTCTATATTTCTGAGATGAGGTATTATGTACATTATTTACATTATTCGGACTATTGTCCTCATCTTTGTTGCCATATTTATCACAATGATTTGGCCATTGTATGCTCCGGCCTTCTTCAAGTGATTGGAATGTCGAACTGAATCCTCAAAGACACATGTCACAGTGGATAAAGGCATTAGTTAGATCCAGTGACAGGACCCAAACAGTGTGAGTTCAATACCTGGTTAAGGCAGTGGAGAACTTGGAGAGGGGAATCAACAGGAGATAACTGATAACTGACGTCCATTAGACATGGCACGTGGAACTAGAACAGTCTACCCCAGCAAGCGAAATAAAGGGTTCAGTTCGACATTCCAACCACCTGAAGAAGGCCCAAGCATACAACAGTCGAAACGTTGTGATAAATATGGCAACAAAGATGAGGACAATAATCTGAATAATGTAAATAGTGTACATAATACTTCATCTCAGAAATATAGACAGATGTTCAGTTCAACATTCCAACCTCCTGAAGAAGGCCGGTGCATACAACAGTTGAAACATTGCAATAAATATGGCGACAAATCTGAGGACAATAGTCCAAATAATGTAAATAGTGTACATAATACTTCATCTCAGAAATATAGACAGATAGCTGACTGTCAGTCTAATTTTAACATTTGCTTCTTGTAACACTATGAATACGGTCATTAGAATGAATCAGACTTTTGCCATATTTGCTAAAATCATCCTACCATGATATCATTGATTAGATAACTCATCCCCTCTCACCCACATATAAAATATGAATCATTACCCTATTTGATGGCATGTAAGAGCTCTGTGCACATGTGAACCAACAGCCGCAGTTCACCAGGGTATATTAAAAAAAAAAAAAAAAAAAAAGAAGTTATTGAATGTTATTACAAGTTCATTAATGTTCCCAATTTAGCTCAGTTCAAAATTTATGATATTCTAATATTTGACCCCCAAAAGGTTATTTTTTTTGTTTATGCCCTCAAATATAGTAAACATGAAATAGAAATTAATAATATATGAAAGGACGTCAGCCTCCAGTGCATCACCAAATGCAGTATTACTTATTCCCCATCGATTTAATCGGCAAAACTTTCTGGCTTATAACTTATAAAACTAAAACTATTTTACAAAACATTAAAAAAAATTTAAAATATAAAAAAAGAAAACAAATCTTTAATAATAATATTTTGATAATAATAAAAATAATAATAATAATAATAATAATAGTTAAATTTTTTCATTACAAAACAAGCATCATTTGTACAGACTTATCATTTTTTGCAGATTAATATACTTTTATACTTAAAAAATATTTTTAAATATAACTTGAAGACAGACATTCTGTCGACATATTGTTTAACAATTTCAAATATTGGTTTTTTCTTTTTCTTAAATCGCACTTTTCTCTTAACGGTTCAAAAATATTGGAAGATTTATGACAATCATTCTGTTTAATAATATTTGGATGATAATAATAATAATAGTAATATAATAATAATATTATTTTAATAATAATATTAATATTACTATAATTGTAATAAGACAATTTTAATAAGAATATTTTAAAATAATATTACTTATTTTAATATTAATAATTATAATATTTTGTCAATAAAATTTTAATATTTTAATAATAATAATAATAATAATAATAATAATAATACTTAGTGATGTGATTCATGGTTTGTTTCAATCATATCATGTCATGGATATGAGAAACATATACTTTGAACACACTGTCCATAGCCCATTGTGGTGAATCTATGATAATACTTTTGTATACATTTTTATCTTGAACAATGTTACAAATCTTAATAATTTTAATTTTTAATAAGCTTAAGTCTTAATCTGCAACAATTACTTGTAAGTGTTAAGAATCTTATTATGTCTTAAACTCTATATGATACTTTACAAGCAAACTGTATGAAACTTAAGTTATGTAGAAATTCATTAAAAAACCTAACAAGAGATGTAAAGAAGCAGAAGGATTAATTAAACAATAAAAACGAAATCAAATGTGGACGAAGACAGCATGTTTATCTGCCAAAAACAGGTAAGTATAAAACAAAATCACCTTTGCTATGTAAATGATGTTCTGACATCCATTCTGTGGCCTTTTCCAGCTAAAATAAAGAAAACAAAAAATCAACAGATAAAACTGAGATGTTTACAGAATCCAATGCATGCAGTTCTATCCAGTAATTAACCTCTTTGTTCAGACCCAGACTACTGTCATATGAGGGGGTGATGCTAAAAAGTTCTTAAACCAACCCTCTTCATAAAATCCAACCAAATCAACAAACATTGCTTTTTTAAGACTTTTCATCTTCATGCTGATGACAAATATTTACTCCTGTCTTAATAGTCTGATCAGTTTGATCAAAACTGACGTACAATCTATTTACGCTATTTACATTGTTCAGACTGTTGTCCTCATCTTTACTGTCATATTCATGCAGTCCAAACAATGTATATAGTGTAGTTACAATACCTCATCTCAGAAATATAGATAGATGTTAGTATGGCATGTGGATGTGGCATGGCATGTGAAACTAGAACAATCTGCTCCAGGGGTCTAAATAATGGGTTCAGTTTGAAATTCCAACATATATCACCTGAAGAAGGCCAGAGCATACAACAGCTGAAACGTTATGACTATGACAAGAAAGATGACGACAACAGTCTAAACAATGTAAATAGTATAAATAGTTACAATACCTAATCTCAGAAATACCTACAATCTGTTATTAACTGGGGCAAGGAATGGCTTGTTAATTTTAATGCCTCCAAAATGAAACTGCTCTTTTTTAATTGTCTAAGAGAACTCATTTCACCTGCCATCAGCGTGGCAGATGGAAACCTCCAGGAGAGTGACTCCTTGCGATTTCTTGGACTAACATTTTCCGCTGACATGAAGTGGAAAGATTATATTGAATCAATTGCTAAATCTGCTCGTAGAAAAGTTGGTTCACAGTGCCATGCTAGACAATTTTTCTCTTCAGAATCTATCTTACATATTTATAAGTCTACCATTCGTCCATGCTTTGAATATTGCTGCCACATCTGGTCTGGTGCTCCTGCTATATATTTAGAATCTGCAATATTATTGATCCTGACCTGACATCTGGACCCCATTCCAAACACTGTAATGTAGCTTCACTATGACATTTCTATAAATATTTTCATGGTAATTGTTCTGATGTATTTTCATCTATGGTACCTAGAATCTATGAATTTAAGCACAGTACTAGATTGGCAGGAAGGTCTCACCATTTTACATTTGAAATGGCTAGATATAGCCATAAGTTCTATGCTAACAGTTTCTTCTTGCACTTCTCACTTGTGGAACTCTCTTCTGGCTTCTTGCTCTCTAGTCAACTATGATGTTCAAAAATTTAGATGCAATGTCAACTATTATCTTCCGTCTTCTTAATTCCTGTTCTTTTATTATTCTCTTTGCTTAATAGTTTTTTTCTCATATTCTCTAGCACTCAGCAACCCTTTAAGTCTTAGTGGCTTTATTGCCATGCTTAGTGTGATGTAATGGAATAACCTGTCACCCCCATGAGTGACTACACTATAGGTATTGACTACCTATAATTATCTGTAAGTCAACGGACTACAGAATCTAACTGGAATTTTTTCCAGCTGTGTTGGTGAAACTCTCCGCCTGGAGGCAGAGAGGATCCCCAGACGAGGCTATGTCAAAGGGTAGAGTCTCGTCTCAGGAAACAGCTACTAACCTAGTTTTATATGGGGTCTACAGGGAATTTTTGACTGAGCCTACGGGCTTGGATTACCCCACATTAAACTCGGTCTTATGCCACATCCTACCTTGTGGGGAGGCTGGTCAATATCGTCTAACTGGGGTCTGTTGAGTACGACTCAGACTTACGCAAGAACTACCAACCTTCCAATAGTAGCACTCACTACTGGATTGACTTGCAATGACCTTGTGCATAACTGTTACCTTTATTCTTATTGTACTGGTTTTTACAATAAACTGACTTATTTTATCCACCGTGTTGTTCAAGTATATATGCCTATTAGCACGGAATATAACAAGGTGAAATGATTAGAAATAAAAATAAACCATTCCTCATATGTACCAAAAAATCCTATTATTACAAGTTACCTTAATACTCATGGTTCTGTTAATGATTTTGCAAATGATATATTCTATTTATACCATTGAAAAACAAAATTCTTTTACTCTCCCAAATACCCTATTATCAAAAGTTACCTTAATACTCATGGATCTTGTAATGATTACTCATTTTCTTCCCCTATGACAGTTCTCATATTGAATTTAAAGCAAAGACTCATCATTTAACAGTTGAAATGGTTAAATGTAAGTTCTATGCTAATAGTTTCCTCTATCATTATCTTCTGTCATTTTAATTCCTCTTCTTTTATTGCTCTCTCTGCTTAACAGCTTTTTTCTCATATTTTCTAACACTCGGCAACTCCTTAAGCTTTAGTGGCTTTATTGCCATGCTTGGGGTGAAATGATTAAAAATAAAACATTCTGCATATGTACCACTTCTTTTCTTCTCCCAAAGAGTCCGATTATTACAAGTTACCTTAATACTCTTGGATCTGTTAATGATTCCATTAATGATATATTCTATTTATACCATTTTCCTCTCCCAAATACCTATTACCAAAAGTTACCTTAATACTCATGGATCTTGTAATGGTTGTATTAATGACAGTTTCTATTTGTATGGTTGAATAACAATAAGAAAGTGCCATAATGATTATATACTAAATCTAATCAAATGGGAAAATGTGATTATTTTTGATGCATTTATAGTATTTAAGACAGAACAAAAATAATAATAGAAGATATGAAAGATAAAAGAAACAGTCAAACATGATGGATGCCATAGCATAATAGTAAGGAGTTCCAACACAAAATAGAAACACCATGTTTATTTGAATTTCAACAAAGCTTACTTTTGGAAAATACGTTAGCCACAAGATGCTATAAATAACAAGAATAAGGATACCAGTCTGAATAATTTGCTGAATAATGAAACCAACTTATTGCAGTCCTGAATATGACAGTAAACTATATCCAGCAGTAAGTTCTCTGGTCAGGAGGTTTTGAGGAATATGCAACCACCTCTTAATTGCTGGTGTTCCCAGGTCCATCCTGACCCAGAGTGGTTAACACCTGTTAGGGTCCCCACTATGGGCAAATAGTGATCCCTCCCCAGCCCAAATAAAAACAAAACACTAAATATAAAAATATAGTTTTATAATAAAAATATCACCAATATATTTTTATGTAATGTTACAAACATTACCTATTCATAGTAAAATTACCTATAATACATTTTTAAAAGCGAAATGAGAAGCAATACATTTTATCTATATTTGTCTATATCTCTGAGATGAGGTATTATAATTATTTACATTATTTACATTATTCAGGCTTAACCTCATCTTCATTGCCATATTTACAATGTTCCCAGCATTGAACACTCTGGCCTTCTTCAGGTGATTGGAATTTTGAACTGAACCCTTTATTTCATCTACTGGGGTAGATTGTAGTTCCACATGCCATGCCTTTTCTGGATGTCTGTTATTTCCCTTAAACTCAAATACTAAAGGGTTCGGTTCGAAATTACAATCACCTGAAGAAGGCCAGAGAGTACAACAGCCGAAATGTTGTGAATATGGCAATGAAGATGAGAATAACAGTCTGAATAATGTTAATAATTTTATTTGTAGTTGAATGCGTACATTTGTGTTCAAAATATTTAGCTTACAGCATTAAGTGACTCATAGAGGTGTTGATATGCCACTAAAGAAAATCAACGAACCAACCAACTCATTGCAGAATTTTAGACAATAAGGAAAGCCACAGAATTTATTGGTTGAAATGTTCTGATAACAACTACAAAAAAGACAATGCAAATAACTTATGGAATTATGACAACTGCAAATGGAAATATATCAAAGAATAAATATTGTAAATTATGCATAAATAAAAACGAGAAAATGTATTACTCAAACGTCCAACTCAAGACCAAACTAGGAAGATCTAAAACTCGTTAATGCTTTTAAAGAACAAATGAATTCACATAAATTAATGATAAATTAAATTGTTGGAATTGATGGATTCAAAAAATTGCATAAATTAATCTATAAATTGCATAGATTGATGATTTAAGAAAATTTCAAAAGAAAAAGCTTTCTAAATTGAATAAAATATTGTTTAAGGCAGTAAAATCAGGTTAAAATAGAAATAACAAATCAGGAACTGGCTTACTGTATCTGCATTGGCTTTAAATCTGCTCAAAAAATTAGTCCAAGACTCTTCATCTCCTTTGCTTTTCAGTTGAAAAAAAGCATTCAGAATGTCTGCAATAAACAAAAGAAATTCTCTTGAAAAATATTTAATTAACTTAACCAACATGCAAGTAACAGTTACTAATGCTGATGGTGGAATCAGCAAATTGAGTAAAAATTCCAGTCAATTTTGTTGCATTCACTTTCACACAAATGCCATTTTGAAAGGCAGAAACCCATCTTGTCTCCTATCAGCTATGGGTTAAATAGCAGGGTAGACTAAGCACTGTAAGGACTACACTGAATTCAAAATCATGGAGATTGTGATGAGAAATCTTCTCTCTCTCTTGTTCTTGTAACGGCATTCACCCGAGGTGGGTTGAGCCAGCTCCAATATTGGAGTTTCATGGGAATTTGGAATTCACAAGTGGTCCCCAACCCGCATGTATAGCACATGAGATTTGATTATAGTGGTGAAGGCTTCATGCAGGATCATCCACACTTTTTGAAGGGCCGATTACAGAGACCTGGTCCACTACGTGCCACAAGGTCCCCAAACGACCCTCTGCAGGTTTTGAATTCAGAATTTTTTTCCTTCTCCTAGACCATTTGCCATCCAAGGCTATAGAACCCAGTCTGTCCTGCTATTTACCCATAGGTGGAGGTAGAAGAAGAGGATTCACACCTTTCCCAAGGGTATTAGCATGTAAGTGAATGTAATGGATTTGACTGGAATTCGAACTCAGCTCTCCGATTCCTAAATCCAAGCCGCTATCCATTACTCCACCACAATGGAACAACTAGTTATGTATGTTACTCGCTATTTCATCCTGTCTTTCTTGCGTCCAGTATGTCCTGTAAATGTTAACTTCTACAAAACCCCTTTACTCATAAAGTGTCTCGTAATTTTCTGCTGTCTCTCTGAATTGAAGCACAAATATTTTCTTTTTGTCTTCCATGTTAAATGTTACATGTTGTTCGCATATTACTAGTCTCTGTTTTGCCATCTACTGTAGCATACCTACGGACATTAATAGGTATTAATAGGTATGTCCACATTCACATAAATACAGTAGTAAATACTGTATGTTGGTCTGCAGTTGGAGATTCATCTCTGAGCTGGTCAAACTCTCTGCCTGGAGGCAGAGAGGATCCCCAGACGAGGCTATGTCAAAGGGCAGAGTCTCATCTCAGGAAACAGCTACCCAACCCCGTTTTTTGGCTGAGCCTACAGGCTCAGATACCCTACATTAAATACCCCACATTAAATTTGTCACATGTGACTACCTGGGGTGGTTGGTAGATATCCTGCAGTTGGAGATTCATTGTCGAATTCACTTGACTCACTTCTAGCAGTTGGCCTTTGTTTGATTATTCTATTCAGTAACCTTACCTAGGTTACAACAGTATATTTAGGCAACAACCTTTCTTTTAAACATGTTTCACTGAATATGACAGACAAACAAATTTTGATTCATTTTTTATTTAGTTTTTCTAACATTCTTATTTTTTTTTTCGTGGGAATAAGGGACTGCAAAAATTGTCCATGTTGTCCATTTTCTTAAGACGTTTTATCCACTTCTTCAGCTATTTTCAAGTTGGGGGGTGGAGGTGGGGGCAAAGGTGTTGTTAATTTCTCTTCATGTTTTACTAAATTTTGGGGGCTTGTTTTGTATACTAGTAGGATCTTTTATTTTGAGCTTTGCTTTGTTCAACTGTTTTTTTTACACAGACAAAACTGCATATTTTTTGCATTTTTCTGAACAACTCATCAAAAGGCTCGTTGGCAACGAGTAAAATGTTAACTGGGAGGAAATGAGGAAATACAATTAAAATTAAATCTAATATTAAAAAGGGGAGAAAAATATGAAATAGGAGGAAGATGGAAAAAACAAGAACAAATAGTTCCAGTGAAAAAATTTTGCTTTAGGGTAAAAATATGCGGTTTTGTCTGATTAAAACTATTTACAAGTTTTGTGGTATCAGACATTTATATATATATATATATATATATATAATTAATACAAATTAATAATAATATATATATGTGTAAGCAAATATATGGATATAGATCCAACAGTATGAAGAAAATATATATACGGAAAAAACAAACAAAAATCCTAATGTACATTATTTGCATTAGTGGACTATTGTCCTCATCTTTGTCATATATTTGTCACAACGTTTCGGCCGTTATCTTGACCCCTTCTTCAGGTGGTTGGAATTTGAACTGAACCCTTTATTTTGATCGCTGGGGTAGACTGTTCTAATTCCACGTGCCATGTTTGATGGATGTCAGTTATCAGTTATCTCCTGCTAATTTTCCCTCTCAAAGTTCTCCACTGCCTTAACCAGACACATGGCACAGTGGATAAAGGCGTTGGTTAGATCCAGTGACAGACCCAAAGAAGGTGAGTTCAATTCCTGGTTAAGGCAGTGGAGAACTTTCAGAGGGAAAATTAGCAGGAGATAACTGATAACTGACATCCATCAAACATGGCACGTGGAATTAGAACAGTCTACCCCAGCGATCGAAAGAAATAAAGGGTTCAGTTCGAAATTCCAACCACCTGAAGAAGGCGGAGGCGTATAACGGCCGAAAAACGACAAATATGGCGACAAAGATGAGGACAATAGTCCGACTAATGCAAATACTGTACATAATACCTCATCTCAGAAATATAGACAAACTCCAAAAATCCTAATATGCAATTATGCTGTTTTAATGTTAATATAATGTCAACATCGGACATTTCAGTCTAATAGACCATCTTCAGGACATATTCATAAAACATAATTAACATTAGACTATATTCAATACGTTTTCACAACATAGCCCACGTGACGACGACGTGATCATATTAAATTTCAGTTATCTGTTTGGATTAGTCTTGGTCTTGTGTCCATTGTCTTTTTCCTGTTGAATTGAATATAGTCTAATGTTAATTATGTTTTATGAATATTAAAAAAAAGAAAGAACTATGAACATGTACTTCCGGTGAAAATAATCATCTAGAATCTAAGTTCAGAGTCCAAAGAAAAAAACCTCCGATATGAGTAAAGTAAAATAACTAAACAAAATGCTCAATACGCTACGTAGAGCAAAATAAGTAAACCTAAAGAGCCAGACAAACCTACCTAGGTTTCACCTACGTGGATCGTCAGGGCGGATCACTGTGTAGGTGAAACCTAGCTAGGTTAGTCTGGCTCTTTAGGTTTATTTACTTTATATATATATAATTAATACAAATATAAAGTTTGTCATTTTGCTGATTGGTGTAACCTTCAGCATCCTGACTCTAGAGTTTCATAGATGGACCCTCCAGCAGTCACTCCATCCACTCATCTGGGGATATCAGTAATACATTATATATACTGTTGGAATCAGATGTTTATATACGATTTAACAAAATGCATCTAAACTCATATTTTCACAACATCCACATTGATGGGTGACCGCTTGGGAATACCGAGAGCTCTAAGCTTTGGGATGTGTGGGTGGTGTAATGTATAAAGGTTCAGAATTGTTAATCGAAAAGCTGGCTTCCAGCTTTAGTTGGGTTTGTTATGCAAATAAGTAAGATATGAAACCACCACTTCTCCCCCAGCTATGGGTTAATTAGTAAGACTTGTATTACTAAACCATTATTATCTCCAAAAATAAAATAAAATTGCATACAAAATATTTAGATTTCAGCATTAAATGATGTTGATATGCTGGTTAAAAAAACAACCAACTAACCACTTTTACATCTGCATATACGCTACCTGTGATATTGATCACTTTTAACCATAAATATAACCATAAATATAGTATAACTTAAAACTATATTTTTATCATATATATATATATATATATATATATATATATATTATAAATTTACTAATTTAAAAATATGGTTTTATTGCTAGACAGGAATTACCATGTTTCAAAAACAGAAACAAAAAACTTCAAATTTAATTATAGAATTAAATTAAAATCCCCAGTACTGTTTCATTTTCAAGCAAATTTTGGAATAACTTATTTTGAAATTTACTGTTTTATAAGCATATACATTCTTAATATTAGTTTCTAAGGATACGGGGAAATTCAATCATTTTGACAAGTGGTGGTAATGTATTCATTTTCGCTGACAACTGAGTTACTTTCGAAAAGAGGTTAAGTTAAGGTAGGGCTGGGGTGCCTGCTCAACAAATGATGACATCCGTTCATAGCATGTCATCTGGTCTTTATCAATGACAAAAAGTTTTTCAGCACTTTTGTTTCACCGTTAAATTTGTAATTGTATACATAAAGATTTTTTTCTAGAAGGGTTGTTTGAATATGAGTATGTCGTATTAAAATACTATTGTAAAATATTATTCCTAATTCTAATTACTAATGTATTAGAATTACTTTATTATTTAAAAATTATTATTAAAGTATCTAATATAAATATGTATGTTTCATTTTTCAGTTTTTTTTATACATTATTTAAGGAAAATCTTTGACAATGTTGGCAAAGAATAGCTATTTCATTTCTTTGATTAAGTAAATTTTTATTTTTTATAAACCTAGTAATGTATAATATCTCATGTATGCAGAAAGGACATGGGTCATTTAATGACCTACAAACACTAGCTTTTCTTATTAATTTCCATTTTACACTAGGTGTTTTATTGGTTTCCTTTAAGTGCCAGAAATATTTAGATATGGAGGTCTGATTTCAGTATTTACTTATGTTTAAAGAACTTTGATGTTGGTTCCAACGCCTCTTGAATTCATGTCTTCAATGTAGACTTTTTCATTGTCTGGATCCTCAGTAGAGGAGATACTGCATTGGCATACTAATGATTCAGTGCGACATTTATTATTAAGAGGACAGTTTTGAGGATTTCTGCAGTTGAATAATTTTTTTCATTTTTTATTATACTATCTAAATTTTTTTGGTTTTGGTTTAAGTGATTATTCAGGATAATTGCATTATGTTTTTAATAATCATTTCTAAGTTTTCAGTACAACTGTAACTTAATTTTAGGGTACTTTTATTAAAATTGTACTGAGTTTACTGTCTTTAGGAAAATGTTTAACGATTAATACAAGGAATTTTTGTCCTAATTTGTTTTTTACCATTTGGTTGTATGGGTGGGGGGTATACCAAATAATTTTTCTACTTCTGTTTTTCTGTGGTTTTCACTTTCATATAATTGAGTTTTGGGCTTTTGTAGCCACTATCCTTTAGAGCTTTATTATAGAAATTACTATGTTAATAGAAAATTTTCTCATTTGCTGAATTTGTACTAATTCTCTTTTTGATAGATAAAGGTATATGTTTAATTATAGATGGAGGATGATTAGATTTAGGGTTTACATACAGAATAAGAATTAGTATTGGGTTTTTTATAAGTTATGTATAAATTATTCATTAAATCTAATGTTATATCAAGGAAGTTCACCTTTTTCAATTTAGTACTTACAGTAATTTTCAGGTTCAGGCATTTAAATTCACTGTGTAATAGTTTCCTAATTTTATCAATTTTAAAGTTTGTAGAATTCTTTATAACCATAAGTCTATTGTCTCTGTACAATCCAATGTCAGTTACACTAATTTTGCAATATGCTGTGAGATTGTATAATATAAAAAGACCTATAAGGTCAGAAGACTCTGCAGAGTCCAATGATCCCATTGTGATGCTGAAGTGGTCATTAGGGTTTATAATCCATTGAATTAAGTATGAGTATTGATTTTTTCGTATTTATAATAATGCTCTTCAATTTCTGTTATGTCAGAGTATTGGGTAGCAAAATCCTAAGCATTCATGAAAAGTTACTTGCTATCGATTGATAGTAATTCTTGTTTTTAGTTTCTACTTTTGAAACATGGTAATTCTTATGTAGTGATGGGAACATATTTTTAAATTAGAAAATTTATAATATATAGTGGACTCTCCCATGTATTCGACATATGCGGGTCAAGAAGGAACCTACAGCACAGACACTAGCACATATGATTTAATTATAGCGTTGAGGGTTTTGTGGAGAACCAACCACATTTTTTGAAGAGACCTGGTGCAGCACCCAAATGACCATCCACAGGTTTTGAATTCAGAGTTCTTCTTCTAGACCAGTTGCCATCCAAGGCTATAGAACCCAGTCTTTCCTGCTATTTATCCATGACTGGAGGAAGGTATTAATTCTCTTATTCTCCTCCATATATATATATATATATATATAGTTAAGTAACGAAAAATCTTGGTAATCCATATGGATAATCCCAAGGAAGATGAAATCCTGGGAGCTCAGTGTTAATTCAGAGCAAATAATGTAATTTAAAGAAAAACAGATGACTTTAAGGTTGCATTTGTAATAATTTATTTAAGCAGAGAATTTTATTTTCCTCTGGATCTTCAGACTTCACTTTCAAAAGGTGAAACGAAAAATGAATTTAAAATTTACACTTTTGACGGGCAGATGTGTGTGTGTGTGAATGTAGAGCAAAATTTAGCAAATCATGATCTTGATTTACATTTGTAAATCAGCAGTTAAATAAGATTGATAAATATTGATTTTTTGCATTTTCTTGACTTACCTTTCAATGGGAGAAAAAGTGTCTCAGCTGTTGAGTCGTGAAATTTTTTGTATCCTTCTCTGGGAGAAAAAAAAGAAAGAAAAAAGCTGATGAAATCAACAAATAACAAAAGTTGTTTCTTTACTGACAAAGTTTTCTAGCCATGTTGTTTTTAAATTTCCACATGCAAAAGACTTGCACTCTAAGTGCAAACATCTTCAACAATGAATAAATGTAATTACAACTTCCAAAAAAAATAAAACTTTTTCTTTCAATGCATTTAATAGAAACTAAGTAAAATATTACAAAAACGAGATTTCTGTTTGGATTTCTGGAATGAGGACTAACAACTCGGAGGCATGAGAAGACTTAAGAAAGCTTTATTTGAGCTTGAATGGGAAAGCACAGCTAGACCCCTTATTTATAATATCTAAGTGAGGCTGAGTTCTGCTTCCAAGGGAGACAATCATCATTGAGGTAACTCTTGATGGTCTATACCAAAAGTTAGATCTCATTATTTATATTATTTACAGTCAAATGAATGATAAGGATATTAGTCTGAGTGTAAATAATGACAAAAATTAGATTCTATAATTTTGAAAAACTTTAACATTTCATTCCTTTAACATCAGCCTATATACCACCTGAAGAAGGCTGGAGTGTACAATGGTCGAAATGTTGTGAATATGGCAATAAAGACGAGGACAAAAGTCTGAATGATATAAGTAGTATAAATAATTATATTACCTCATCTTTATTGCCATATTCATAACATTTCGGCCATTGTACACTCCAGCCTTCTTCATGTAATATATGTTGGAATTTTGTCTACAGAGGTAGACTGTTCTACTTCCATGTCTCATGCCTTTTTTGAATATCTCATTTTCAGATAATTCCTGTTAAGTTTTTATTCCCTCTGCTATGGGCAGGTATTGAACTCACAACTATTTGGGTCAAGATACTTTTTGAATTACTTCAACTAACGCTTTTATCCACCGGGCCCTGTGTCATCAGGAAAATGAGTGAGTGAATTTTGAGGACTTAATGTCGCAGTAACTGTTTTTTATCATTACAATTTATTGTTATTGTTTTTTCTCTCACTCTTTATTACTGGTTCCCATATTGTATTCATCTCTATGCTCAGCCAGATTAGGAGAATTTTACTGCCTAGCATATGCACGTATTCCTTAAGTTTTCATATTTTCAAGTGATGTTCACTATTTATTCTTTCAATCTGATCTCCCTTTCCCCTCCATAGATGGTAAGCCATGCTTGATTTTTCTATTTCTCCTTGTGTTACGGCTTTATAGTGTTCTTGCAGTCTTATCCTAAGGGGGCAGTCAGTTTCTCCTTCATATTTCTTGCCACAGCTGCATGGTATGGTGTACACACAGTTCTTAATTATGTTTTCCTCCATGGGATGTCTTACTTGAAAGAGATGGCTGAACCAGTTTTCTGAGAGTTGTTATCCTCTTGCACCCTTCTATTCCAGTTTGTCAGAGCTGCTGACATGCACCCAGGGTAGTTGTTACGTTGTAGGGTACTGTTTATACTGACCATTTTATTCCTTTATTTTTTTTATATTTATATTTTTGCAATGATATTCAATGATGCACTAGGCCAGAGAGCCACTCGAGGTAGAGGGTTACAAAGTAAGAAGCACAGTTTAAAAACATATATGGGGAAGATAACAGTTAACCCTAGACTTGAACAGGTTAAGATTGTAGTGATCATTGAAACCACCACTTGGGAGTAGGTACCACGAGGCATGTAAAAGAGCTGCTTGAGTGGAGCTTACATCTCACCAGGGGAATACAAAGGGAATGAACATGGTTCGCTACAATGTGTGTGGCATGATGGTTTTAGCCGTGAAGGTTAGGACTGGTTGAACGAAGGAGTCTAGTTCAACTGAACATTCTCCATGGAAATAGTGATAGAGCAGTGAGAATTAAAGCATCCTTTTTCAACTCGTAGGAAGAAAATTTACTACTTGTTATGGCTGGGGTGGAAAACTTTCAAAGTAAATGTTCCTACTTGATCTTTTGAACAGGAGTAGAGGTTTATCCCTCGTTTCCAATTTAGGATCGGGTTTCCAGTTCCTTCTAAAGTTTTTTCGTTCTCTTTAACTCCAGGTAGACCCCCTTTGCATCTTAGTGGCATTATCCCCTTGCTCGAGGTGAATTGAAAAAAAAATAATTTTAACATTTTAAACAAATTCAACACATGGAGGAATTTTATACATACAATATATACTTGCGTATCATGCAATTTCTGAAGACCTAATTTTGAAGCGAATTTTAAGGGGGTCACATCATACATGAGATATAAAATTAGCATATGTACTTCTGGCCCTGGCTATGTCATTGACCAAACTATATCTCCATTTACTGTAGTACACCTGTATTTAAAAAAAAACATGATTTTGATAAAGCTGATAGTTTTCTTAACTGTATCCAATATCAATGCATAATAATAATATTAGTATCATAATAATAATGTATAATAATAATAGTATCAAAATTATAATGCATAATATTAGTATCATAATAATAATAATGTATAATAATAATATTAGTGTCATAATAATAATGTATAATAATAATAATATTAGTATCATAATAATAATTCATGTAATGCATATTAGTATTATATTATAAAATACAAACATAGCAAATATGCATCTTTTCCATTGTTTACATTTGTAAGATGTTTAGCTGTTTCTCGTTCGGTTGTTTATGGCTGTACACATTTACATAATGTGTATAGCATTACTAACGAAACTTATCATTCTCTTGCTTTTTTTTAACTAGAAGATGGGATAAAGAGATAGTGGAAAAAGTTTAGTCTATTGCAATCTGGTCTCTCAAAAAAGGAACTTGCATGATACATAAGATATATGATAAAATCATTTTTTCATGAGTGAAAATTTGGGGGCTGCCTGATACAAGAGGTCATACGTTATACACGATATATTTTTAATATAAGGAATATCTTAATTCATAAGAAGAGAAAATATACTTGTGTGTACAGAGATGGCTAAAGCAAAGAAAATCTTTATACACTTTGCTCTGTGTTAGTGTATATGCATGCATAATGCCCCAGATGGCTGGCTGAAATTAAAATAACATCTTGCCAATCAAAGAAATCTCCTATGGTGAAGAGAAGTTCTGTTGTTTTCATTATTAAAATACACACATCTAATATATGAGAAGAAGAGTTTAATACATGTTTGTGTAGTGCTACTTAAATATGGGCATGTGGCCAAGTGGTTAGAACGTTTGCATTCTGACCCTGAGACCGGGGTTCAAATCTCACCATGGTCGATTTGTCAGGAAGGAGACTTCCTGGGACTGGAGGGATCCATCCCAGCATGTGGCACCTTTGGAAAGTGCCTGAAAACCATACCATGGGTTGACCTAAGACTCGTGACTGAAAATGGGTAGATCGAACTCTTAGGGGCTGTCGACAGCTGTGCTAGCACAAAGTTACAAGTCATCGTAGGCGAGGGCTTGAGCATGCTGGCCTTGTTCAAATTGTTGATCATGCTAGATAATATGCTTTACCCAGAAACTGTAACTAAGGCCTGTTCAAAATAGTTGCAGTATAAACCACAGGTGGGCTCTGTGGGTGTTGAATAAACACAAATGTGCCTGAGCAAGCATCTGCAATAGGGACTGGCTACCACCCTAGTAGATGGGTAACCTTGAATACAAGTGGCCAGCTATGCTACTTAAATAAAATTGTCCACTCATAAAAAAGACAGAAATTTTTCAGAACTAAAATTTGTAGATCAGTATTCTTTAGACTCTCCTAAGGCTGTATCACTTTTCAGAATAAAAAAATATTGATTTGTTTTCATTTTATAAGGTGGGGTCTGTATATAATATTAATACAGTGTCAAATCATTCCCTGACTTTTACAGTTTTATTGGCCTGAGTTGTTTTGTGTATGAAAACAGACTATTTTTTTAGGTGAGGGTTACAAAAAGATGGAGATAAGAACAAAACAAACATTTATATAAATTACTAAAATTATGCATTTGTTTATTCTTTCTTTGAAATAACTAATTATGAACTGCAAATGTTGCTTGCAAAAGAACTCCCAGACAAAAAGAAACATTTTAAAAAAACATAAAAAAGGTTAAAAAATTTTAAAAAAAACTTTAAAAAAAATATACCTATATTAATGCTGCTAGCACATTTTCAAGCTTGACACTTGTAACTAACAGTTAAGTGACTTAGCTTAAATCCAGTAACTCTGTAAAAGTCGGGGATCAATTTGGCACTGTATTGATATTATGAACAGGACCCCCTACTAAAATGATAGCAAATCAATATTTTTTGATTCTGACAAGGAATGCTAATTGACAAAAATTATTTCCTAAAGAATTTTTCCTGTTCTTATGAGTGGACCAGTCTAATTAAGTAGTGTTTGATTGTACTTCAGTATCAATTTAAAGCAATTTGTCATGCAGGACTCAACTATAAAAGGACTCAAGTATACTTAAGTATAAAGAAATGAAACAATAAAACCATTTCTTTATATAGACTATCTGCAATTTTCCAATGGAAGAATTGCCATTCAATAAAACTTACCTCAAAGATGTCATTAGTGAATGGGTGTAAGAAATCTGGAGACTGTAGACCTCTCTGTGGAATTTCAGTTCTGCTTTCAATGCTTGAATCTGAAAGAGAAAAAAATTTAATGATGTAAAAAAAAAAAAAAAAATTCATCTTGGAAAAAGCTAAAATTTTGGCATAATTTTTTTTTTTAAGTAAACCTACAACTAAAATTATTACAATAAAAGAAAATGTTATCCAAAATAACATTAAATTATCTTGATTACAGATTTTATACCACAAGAATCAATTACTTTTTATGATATTACATGATATTGGCCAGGTGTATCAACAGTTTGACCTGAAAGATACCCTCTTAGCCGTCAAGTACAGATCCACACTTTGCTTGATGTCAGTGGCTGTATCAAGGATGCGCACACATGGGAAAATACATATGACAGGAAGGTATCTTCCCTAGAGGGAAGAAAAAAGTCTCTTACAGCCTAATGAGAAGGTAAAATCCACATTCAGAAAAAAACATAAAACCACCCATACATTGACTAACAGTAATTGGCAAATTCAGGTATTGACTAACATGTTATGTCTCATATAAGACATTAACTTTTTGTTCTAATTAAAATTCACAATGATAATGTTACACAATACACACACTATATATATATATATATACATACACACACACACAAATGAAAAGACAAGAGGAAAACTATACTTAGTTTTAGCTGAAGCATTTTGTCATCCAACCAATTTCATCAAGGCAAATGTGATGATTTTATTTTGCAATAATTATATATTTGACGGTTACTCAAAATATTTAAATTTAAAAATGCTCATCAGGTTAACTGAAATGCCACATGATGTAATCTAAGGTCTAAATGTCTAGACATTTCAGTTAACTTGTTGAATATTTATGAGCATCTTTACATTTAAAATTTCCTTTCAAAGATGCTATGTAACATATATCTAGCACTGAAGCCAAAATAAGAAGGTAGATTGCTAACTAAAAGATCCTTCACCCCCACACAATCACCACCCATACTAAGTGAGAGATAATCATATGTATTTGGCCATGGAAATTGTGGGGAAAATTGTGAAAATGGCCTACCTCGGAAACGCGTTCGAATCTGCGCAGTATGTAAACTCTGGTCCTTCCATCGGTAAAAAAGAAAACCAAAATGGCGGCGCCCACGTTTTATGCCGAGCGGTCTCGGTCAGTTAACGCGAAATCTCATTGCCTCGTGATTCGCATGCAAATGTTGGTCGATCCGCAGCTGTATAAAAGCAGGCTTGTTTCTGCTGTTTAAAAATCAGAAAGGCTTTTCGCCTCGTGAGAAGGTTGGACGTGCGACACGGTTTTTCTTTGTGCCTACCTGCTATCATCAGTTGAATTGTTGAGTTACACACCACAAGCTATTTCGGCAATGGACAAGTTCGATCTAAAAGTTGATCCCAGAATTCACGGCTCCCCCACGGGCCCGACTATCGTCGAATGGTTTGAAAAGGCCGAACGTGTTTGCAGGGTGTCCAAAATAAAGGAACCTGCACTAGTCATCCCACTGAGACTCACGGGAGGAGCCCCGCAGTATATCAACAACTCGGGGACGATGCTGACCTAGAAGAGATCAAGGACACCCTGTATACGGCCTTTGGAATAGATCCATTCATCGCTTGGAAACAGTTTGTGGACGACGGCTCGAGCAGGGTGAGACCGTGGATGTTTACCTGGCTGATTTGCGAAGGCTGGCAGTACCGTTTGGCGGACAACGGACCGCATACTGGGGTGCGCCTTCCTGGCAGGGCTTCCCGACGACACCACTCGGCTCCTCGGCGTCTTCAAGATTGGACACACTGGGAATTGACGAATTGCTAGCCAGGGCCCAAACATCTTGAAGGACCACGGAACAGATCGCGGCAGCCGTGAGAACGCCTGAGACACCGAGGGAGGGCCCAAAGTGCTACAAGTGCGGTGGACCCAACCATTTCTCTAGGGACTGCCGGGCGAAGTGACGTAGGAGAGGAGCAGCAGGCGGAACCGAGCACAACTACGCTGCTATCGCTGCAAAGAGTTAGGCCATGTAGCACAGGATTGCTCGGGAAACAAGTCCGGGACAAGGTGCTGTCGCAACCCTTGCCCCCTCTCGGTCAATAAATGCGGCATTGCCTGTTGTCAACGTGTACGTTGAGGGTAAACGATGTTCGGCGCTCGTTGACACTGGATGTTCCCGATCGATCGTTAGTGCGGATCGATGCGTGACATGGAACAGTCAACAAATCGAGATTCGGACGATTGACCCAGTGTCCCGGCCTGTTGTGGTGTCGGGACTGTGTCAGTCCTAACAGGCGGAGGGGTCATGCCGAAGTCGACGTCTTGGTGTACGTCAAAAGGCCCCTCGGTACGACCTGCTACTTGGGATTGATGCGATCCGGCGTTAGGAGGCATGATGATCACGCCAGCGGAAATGTGGAACTGGGTGAAAGAAGAAAGGTGTGTGCAGCCCTTTGCGTTAGTGAGCCAGTTTCCGAGCGTCTCCTTCAATTCCGGCGAGAGAAGTGTGGACCGCCAGGTGAAATGGGCCCAAAAAGACCCGCCAGTTCAGCTTCGCCAACAAGGTCGCTGAGTACAAAGTTCCAGACAGCATCAGAGGAAAATACGAGAAAGAGCTTCAGCAGTGGATTATGAACGGCTGGCTGATTCCGTACCCCAGGAAAGACTGGGACCCCCAAAGGGTCTGATTCCCTTGATGGCAGTCGTGCAGGAGCAGAAACAGAAGGTGCATCCGGTACTCGATTACCGCGAATTGAACGACTTTGTGGATGCTTTCACTGCCGATGCAGAAGTGCCCGCACATAAGTTGAGAGAACGTGGGCGGCAGGGAGTCAATGTGTCGCTTCTGGATCTGCGGAACGCATATCTTCAGATTCACATCGATGAAGCGCTGTGGCCATTTCAAACGGTTATTTTCAAAGGCCAACGCTTCTGTCTTACGCGGCTAGGATTTGGGCTAAATGTAGCGCCACTCATCATGAAATCCGTTATAGACGCCATCGCATCGAAGACCGCACAATTGAAAGTGCCACATCAGCATACGTTGATGATATCTTCATTAATGAAAGTTTGGCCTCTGCATCGCGTGTAAGACAACACTTTTGGATTACGGTTTGGTGTGCAAGGATCCGGTGCGACTGAGAGATGGAGCAAGAGTTCTTGGCTTGCAGGTCTGGGAAAAAAATGGCACCCTCCGATGGAAACGAGGAAGTCAAATTCGGAAGCCCCTGATGTGTTGACCCGACAGCGCGTATTTTCGTTGTGTGGGAAACTTGTTGGACACTTCCCAGTGTGTGGATGGCTCAGGTGGCAGTTGCATTCGTCAAGCGCCTGGCAACCGCAGCAACCAATGGATGGGATGATAACATCAAAGATCCTCTCTCTGTCGCATACTAGCAGAGATGTTAAGTAGAGTGCGGGAACTGGATCCCGTGGAGGAGACTGGTGCATGAGTGGTGACGAGATCACAGTCTGGGTGGATGCGAGTTCCGTGGCAGACAGTGGCATTGGAAGTAAACGGAAATGTCATCGAAGATGCGTACTGGCTGCGTCCGACTAATGATGCCAGGCACATTAATTTGGCTGAACTCGATGCGGCGCTTAAAGGAGCTGAATCTGGCTCTCCAGTGGGAGGCGACAACGTTGCACTTGGTCACTGATTTGGCGTGTGTGCACAGTGGATTTCCGACACCTTGACCGGGAAGGCACAGGTGAACACAAAAAAGCAGCTGGTGAGATGCTGGTCAGGCGACGGCTGGGCATTTCGCGATCGTTGGTGGGAGAATATGGATTGACCATGGATGTGACACTCGTGCAGTCCTGTCAGAACCGTGGCGGATTGCCTCACCAGAGTACCGCGCAGGTGGCTAGAACTGCTCAAGAGAGGAGAACCAGCGCTCGAGAGCTGTGCAGTGGCAGGGAGACGACTGGATGAGGACCAGGTTGCCAATACGCATCATCAAAGCAGACATCCAGGCGTGAAACGAACTCTGTGCCCGCCAGGTTAGTCGACCCGCAGGTGTCCAGAGAAAGCGTTAAATCTGTTGTGAAGGCCTGCACAACCTGTCAGTCGATCGATCCGGCACCCGTTCACTGGGAAAGAGGAGAACTGAGCGTGAAGAGCAACTGGAGCAGACTGGCAATGGACATAACTCACCACAATGGTAAGAATTTTTAACACTCATTGATTGCGGTCCCTCCAGGTTTGCGTGTATGGCGGGCACTGCGCCGACAAGATGCAAGCACCATCATTCGACTGTTGGAGAATGTTTTCCTGGGCGAGGGCCCACCCATGGAAATACTGACGGATAACGATACTGCGTTCACCAGTAAAGATTTTAAAGAATTTGCGGACACTTGGAACGTGCATCTGCGGTTTCGATGTGCCTACTGCGCCAAGTGGAAACGGCATCGTGGAGCGGAACCACAGAACCATCAAGACCATCGCAGCCAGGAAGGGCTGTACAGTATCGAGGCGGTTTACTGGTATAATGTCGCCCCGAAGATAACATTTCACCATCCACGGTGCCGGCTGATGCACTGCACAAATATCATGTCCAGCGTGAAAGGCGTTGAAGCCAACCCACCTGAACTAAAACTGGAGGAGATTGAAAAAAGGAGACCGTTTGGGTCAAAAACCCACGCGGCAAGTGTACGACAAATACGGCACTGGGCGTGTTACGGAGGTTATCAGCCGTGACTGTGAGAGTTGATGGGGTGCCTCATCCACATTAAAGACTTGCGACGGTGGCGCAATCACTACCGTACCCGGCGATGAAAGCGATTCGAGTCTGGGAGTAGTGGCGTTCAATCTGCCTTGAGTTAGACCTGCAGGGCTGCGATTCTGATAACAGCAGCCTCCCGGCTGACACAGTGTTTCCGACACTCAAACCACAGCGAGAACACGCTGCGAGGATGAAGCTTGTGTTATCCCCCCTTCGGAGGGGACTCGACGGCGACGATCGCACCTCCCTGCCCTGTTTGTGATCATGAGATCAGGGGGGTGTGGGAAAATTGTGAAAATGGCCTACCTCGGAAACGCGTTCGAATCTGCGCGTC